ATGATTTTTAAAAGTTTGGCTTGAGAATCAGGTAAAAATTAACGGAATCGCACATTGAAAATAAAAAATAAATCAGTATGTAACGCATTTGAAATTTTGGCGTTGGCTTTGGGGAAAGGCACATGGGGAAAATTATCAAAGATTGACCTGTTAAAAAGAAATGTAAAAAATAATGTGACTTGCCTGGGTAAGCATATTTCCAATTAGAAATAATCAGAACATGTAAAGAACCAAAGGTCACTCAGGCAGCAGCCCGGCCCCAACTCTACAGATTAAGAATAAATCAAGTTACGCTATACTCCAGGTAAAATATCGGCAACTACTCTTGGGAGCAGTTTTTTCTTTGTGGTTTTTTAAGACTCCCGTTTACTGTTCCTCAGAATAAAACATATTTTTTCTTATTCTTATCAATGAATAGTTAGCAGTTTCTCTAAGGTCAGAATCTAATTACGCTGAAGAAAATTGAGAAAACATGATCATTACTGAGATACATTGAAGAATAAATGTTTTCCATACGTACCGTGTGGCCTCGGGTGGGTAAGTTTACAAAGGAAAAATATTGAAAAATAAATAAGAATATAAACTAAAGTGAAAGAAAATTAAATTATAGGGTAATGAAGAGCACTCACCCAAGTCAAGAAGATTAGCCAACTTTTCGGTACTTCTTAGCTGAAGGCAGCATTTAAAGAAAGGGACACCACTGTCAATTATGCTATTTTCCAATGCAACATTCGTTAAGTTTGGATAAGAAAAACAAGAAATAATTTAGCACTTAGTTAAAAATGCATCCTGAGTGCTTTTTTGTCGTAGAACGCATTTTAATTCGAGTGTTGAGAAAAATCAACAGGTTACAAAAATCCACCTTAATTAATGCTAGTATTAACACTAGTTGGGAGTACTGTGCAAAGTGCCATCATTATATTTTGTGAGCTCTGAAGTTTCATGACTAAAGCCTGGCCAATCTCTGTGAGAAAACTGCATCACAAAAGACAGACAGAGACAGGCTGTATAGCTAGACGAAAAGATTATTACATAAAGTACCTCTCATGTAACTAGACAAGCCAAACAATGGACTTAATTAATTACTTTTGAGAATCTAAAGCTCGCAGGTGTTGATTGCACTTCTCTACAGCAGGTCCGTTCTAGGGGATTATTTTCTAACACACAGGAAGCGACAAAAATGAGCCGACAAATTCAACATTGGAGTGCAATCGCCTTCCGTCCAACTAGCTTTAAAAATAAAGTTATAGAGGGCGTTACCTATAGGAGCAGACCCATATAATACTGCAGGAAAAGAGCTTTGACCAGAACATTCATATCTCTGTAGACGTTCATACCCTTTAGCTACTCACGTAAAAAGCGATATAGCTCCTCGCTCTTAGTTTGCGCCAGTTGAAACTGAAAACTTAAAACTGAAGAGCGTTTGTAACGTCCAACTATCACCACAATATGCTCTTAATCTTTGTTTATTTTTAAATTATTATTAGTTTAGACAAATTTTCTTTTGACCCAAACTTACTTTAACGTAAACACCTCACAGGAAAAAGAAAACGAACGAGCGCGAGTAAAGTCAAGAAATTCGAGCAAATTAATGTGGCCTTAAGAACCTTATTAATTTTCGTGGAGATTCGCCTAGAGCCTCTTTAAGTTGGAAACGTTCCGTTTTTTCGTCGTACTCTAATAGTGAATAGTTGCACCACAGTAATACAAAACAGGCAGTTTTTAAGTTTAGCTAGCATTGTTTTTCGTCGAAAAAATTGTAAATCAAAAACTATTTTACTCTTTTTTTAGTATTAGCTTTTGGCTTCGTAGCCATTTGGAACATAAAGTCGTTGCTGTTTTGTTTTCAAAATTTTGAAAACAACCTAAGATGTAGAGATGCACAAGACCTAAGCTAGTCTTAACTTGGTCTCCACTTGTGTTAAATTGGAAAATCTGTCCTATTTTCAGTAAAAATAAAACCAAAAAATACCAAATCGATGCTTTGCCGTTTGTGGGTTATTGAGAAAGATATCAAGGAATCTTTAATCGCTGATGGGAAACGGCGAATAGAAACTAAGAGCTTGATTAATAAGTCTATCATGTTAGGTTAGAATTCTTAAGTTAGTAGGTATTTCTACTCCGTCTTCCATGGCAAGACTTTGTGTCAGTGGTGTAACAATACATTCTCACCTGTTTGTCGCCCATGGTGCAAATAGCCCTCGAAATTTAACCAAAATTGCCCTTAAAATGGCTATAAGACCCTATAACGGCCTACTTCTTCCTCGCTTGCTGTAACATTATATCTGAAACAACCTTGATTACCGTCATTGACGGCTGAGGAAAGAAAAGTGGTGAACAGTTCAAGGTAAGAAAAGGGAGGGGTTACTGAAGAGCATGAAATATGGCCCTTCGAAAACGCTTCACTGACAACACTAGTGTTCCAATTCTTCATGTACCACACTTTGGCTAGAACCAGCCCGACTCAAAATTGTTTGTTTTGGAAACTGCTATTTCATATTGTGACAATTTTGAAACGACTGGCTCCAAAGAAGTCTTAAGAATCTAAATGATAAATAACTCTTCTATTCACAATTTATTTATTGTGAAGGAGACCAGCGTCGAAAGAAAGGAACGTTTCAAAACAGTGAATTTCAAATCGAGAACAAAAACATGAACCACAAAATGACGAGCTAATGTGGACAGCAAAGACATTGTGGAAACTCTGCCCAAACCACGACAAAGAACAAAAACTAAACTTACATAAAAACAAAAAATAAATGATAAACACGTTCGTTATTTTTCTACAATGAAAAGTTTATTATTTAAAGGTAGGAATACAAGCTTTTGAGAGTAAGTCGGAATAATTCACCTTAAGAATAAAAGCGAAAAGTAGTTTAAGGTACTTCTTCGTGCATGTTGGAATCTAATTCAATTTAGCGAGCGTTTAGGTAAACAATGCAAATCAAACCACCTCACATGGCAGAGCAAATCTTCAAAATCCCTGACTGAAACAGATAAACTCCCTTGAATTTCTTCGCTAGGTCATCTTTGGAAAGGCTGTTCATTTTATTTCAGAGCGATCCATATTGCATCGGAAATAAGTCTTTCGTTCCTGAGAAGAGAACAGGAAAAAATATTAACTACCAATAGAAACAATACCTGACAGTATGAGGCTTTAGTCGGGAGACAAAAGAATATTGGCCCTCGTTCCTTTAAGCATTCACCTTTTCCTGAGAAAATTCTAACCACAATTGCCACAAAAACATGTCGCTCTCATGATCAAACAACCAGCAAACAATCGCTGCAGTTTCAACGGCTGAATTCTAAAGGCAAAATTCTTTAGTTCTGATAAAATAATTTAACGTCTTAATATGTCTTTGATAGTCTTAAACAACCAAATCAGCTTCAGTTGATGCGCACCGAAGGCAGAAAAACAAAAATTTATTCATTGGAAGTTATCTTCAAATAATAACTGGACCATAATAGCGACCATTTCGCGAAAAAAAAATTTTACGTCATTTGCAATCTTAAGTAGATTTAGGCGTGCATGGAAACTAAAGAACATGAGTAAAACATGAAATTACTCGAACTTCTCGTTTTAGAAAATTCTGAAAATGTTTTGTCTTAAGAAGTAGAAATTTACAAAACACAAATTGAAACAAGTTCCAAATGCTTATTTGCAGTAAAGCAATCAATAACGAAGATGGAAATTTGTGAATCAGTTGGAAAAAAACTTTGGAGAGTGGCGAGGTAATGCCTTGAGAAGTAATAAGTGCCTTTCTTATCAATCAAGAGCACGTTTCCTATAAAAATTGCATGCCTTCACTGCTCAGTTATTCTTACTGAGAAAAGAAAACATCGTGGAAAATGGCAACACAATGGACAGGTTGCATGGATAGTTTTCAAAACATTTCCTCCCTTTTTGCTCCAAAAATAAACAACAACAGTGCAGTATAGGTAAATTGAAAAGTGACCACGAGTAGTTCCTTGATTTAATCCCACATGTGTAAGGAACCGTTTATCAAGACTATGCGTTGTCCAACCGGATATCTCATTGCTTGTACAATTTCGGTTGACCAACCCTTTTTCAAAAAGACAGCGCTGACTAAACTGTGCCTAACACGCCTTTTCAAAAAAAAAAAATTTTTTTGCGGACATTTCTGAAACTTTGTGTTTCTCACAAGACTAGTTGTTAGCTAATTCTAAGTATAAAAATTACGATAAACTCAGAGAGCGATAAACAGTGAATGTTTTCCAAATCTAGCTCCACCAAAGTTGGAGTGCTATCAATAAGCTTGAGATTTCAATCAAAATAATAAAATGCAGGATTACTCCGTGAAATCTTGATAAGAGTTCGATAACGTAAAAAAAATATTGGAAAGAACGCCAATCGTTCTTTGGATTTCATCAACTCACCTTTTTCAAATACCGATCCACAACACTGCCCACGTTTGCACGAAACAAACGAACTAAAAGCAAGAGGTTAGATGACAGAGAAAATTGCTCAGTTTAGTCTAAAGGCAAGCTCCAGGATACTAAATTGTCCTTAAATCTAACAGCATAAGTTTTGAAAACAAACAATTTAGAAACATCTCTCCTGATTGCATAAATGTTATAAACCAAGGGTAAACTTTTAGGTTTTGATGAAAACTATATTCCAGTTGTTTTCAAAAAAATGAGCAGGAACTTATTGCCGATGACAAACAACACGTCAACCAAGGCTCATCACATAAAAGGTGGGAAGGAATTTTAAGAATAAACTTGCAATTTTTTCGTTTCTCTGAAAATATGCTATATGTTCAGATAAAAATGTAGACAACGCCATCAATTGTAACCGCAATCCTGTCACTGCTGATGCTTGATTGTAAGTGAGTTTAGAAAAACAAGTAATAAAAATATATATATCTCTGAAACCATAATTGAACCTCCTAAGGAAAGTTCAAGATATACACCATTTGTTGTAAGCAACAGATTTATTTGGATTCTGCAATTTCAGGACTAAACAACCATAAAATTAGATGTCACACAAGTTACTGGATAGCGCTGCTCCCATAGATCTTAAGATATTGTTCTTAAATTATCAACAGATGGATGCAAGGTCACCGAAGCTCATTGTATCGAAAATACACAGTTTCGCGGCGAAAAAGAATGTTAATCCTGGAAAACGGGCTCCTAGAAAGCAGACACCTGCAGACAAAAACCAAATTAATATTGTATACACGGTGAAGAAACCACGAGATGGATCGAAAATAGAAATATAAACAACCAGCCATCGTTAAAACTTGCAATTTGGTTAACTCAGCGTGAAATACTCGAAAAGTAATGGTTCTCTCTGTTTTTAGCGGTTTGAAAGTACAATCGCCGTACGACAAAGGTACAAAGTTTGTAGAAAGGTCGAACACCTAAGTGAACAGAATCCTTGTTTTTGCGAGGAGCTCTTGCGTTTATTAACAAAGACAACTGAAAAGTTTCCACATGGAAAAACACAGCTTGAAACATACAGGTACTTTGTGCTTTTTTCTTCACAGATTCATGAAAAGGAGATTGACTTAGAGACAATTGAAATATCTCACTTTTCCAACATGTTATTTCATAACTTGTAAACTTGTTTTGCAGTGGCAACCTAACTTTGGCAAAAAATTTCGTTTGGGCGGATTAAAAGGTAAATACACATATGGCAAACAAGTGCATTTATCGATGCAAATCCAACCGTTGGCTTTTGTCTTCACAGAAATGGAGAAAATCAATTTGAAAAGAATCCCTGTCTTGAAGGTTAATTTTGCATTATGTTTACATAAGTCATGGGAGGACGCGGTGACAGCTTCTGAATATTGCATGAATGTTTGTACAAATAAAATACCTTTAAAACGATATCAAATATTTCAAAAGTATAAATATTTAATCAACTTTGATTTAAGGAGGCAAAGTGCCTATTCGTCAGACACTTCTGCTTGCCTTCTCGACGGCGAAGTCCAAACCTAGGAGAACTTCCCTGGTAAGTTCAGTGGTAATTCTTTGTACAAATTCTCAATGTTTTCTCGAAAGGAAAAGTTGTTATTTGCCATCATTTCCGATTGTTTACCTTTTTAAAGTAAATAGAGTGAAGATATTTTCCCGTTGCGGATTCTATTTACTCATATATATTGGAAAACAGTTTAATCTACCCTAGGCCCTAACGAGAAATATTTGAGAAAAACTCTCGTTGTTTTCAAACATTCTAATCCATTGACGCTGCAAGTGCAATGCTACACAAACGTATAAAGCTTGATCTCGAGTAAACGAGACCTCACATTTTCATCAGTTTAACCAGTTGAACTGATACACGAGGAAGAAATGGAAGCATGTTGTTTCGTAGATTAAAATGGCCGGTGCCAACATCAAACGGAAACTTTGGGTATTGTGATCGCATTACGAAAATGTAGGTGAACGATTTGTAGTAGTAAATACGACAAATATACTTTAGTGATATGCCCCAAACGTTCTTGATAGTAGACCGCGGCAAAATTTTTATTTACCGAATGACGTATCGCTAAAATCATAACAAATTTGTAAATTCGTGAAGCCATTGGCTTCGGGCATATGTCTACCCGCTCGCTGGTTTTACGGATTTACTGTTCATGAACTAATAAATGATTTACAAAGCACTTCACCTGGAAAAGAGATATTATTGTCAATTAGCGCTGAAGAACATGTCTCAAAAACCTTGAAGAATCTCGCTAAATAATGCGTAAAAGTTATAAGTATCAAGTGCGCTTTGTTTAATTAAAAAACCAATACAGTTTTGCAGATGATTTAAAACCAGAAGAGTATTAAGTTATTAAAAAAAACAAACTTGATTCATGAATGGCCTAGTAAACAGATAAAAACCACAAGCTTTTGGCGACAAAACAAAGGTGGAAACTTCACTAAAAGAATAAAAATATGCCATGAAACAGACTGAATTTTCTACACGAGGGGCCTCTTGAGAGATTAGCGTAAATTCATTCATATAACCTGTGAGAGAATTCAGTGTTATCTTTCTTTGAGCACGTTCGAATTCCAAATGAAAACCAGAGGACAAAAAAAGCTCGGTAAACTGCAAACGCTCGCTAGTAGAATTGCCGCAAAAACTAACTGCTTACTTCTTGACTCTATAACAGAACTGAGAGGACCTCATAGGCGGTGCAGGAGTTGCGTGTTCATAAATGCTATTGCATAATACTGCTTTCATAGTGAACTTCGCAGCAGTGAAGCTATTGATCCACGCAACACACCTGTTACGTCGCGCCAGAGTCACCTGTTTAGATTTTTTCAACGCGTGCTTTTGGTAGCATTTTTAATCTAAAGATGGCATTTGGGGGATTAGTAAGGATAATGAGCGTACAAGAATTGAAGCTCTATGGCTTGGCAAGTGCTTTTGTTTTCGCATTGTTCGAATGAAGTAGTTCTTGTTTCTTCATTACCCGTAGTGCTCAAAACGAAAGTGTGATTTACAGTAGCAGTCGAATTATTTAGCTTTCTCAAGAACTGGTTTTGGGTGGAAAATTAGTTCTTTACGAAAGCTTTATTAACACATCCATTAAAACCCTTTCTCTTGGTAATCAAGGCTTTATGGTGAAAAATTAATTTCATTTATTTGATGTGCCAATTGTCACTCACATGTACCGGCTATTAAATTTTTTTACCGTGGGAAAAAGTGTGACGAGTCGCAATTTCAGGAGTACAATCGGGGAACGCCTCTTGTCGAGAAACAGATAATGGCTGTGTGCAATGGTGGAATCATATGATTGTGTTGTAATCGTATATGACAGTTTTAATTGTTTGAAGAACAAATTTATCTTGTGCTTTCTCGAAGTATTGTCTTACTGACAAAACTGAGCCAAGGAAGTGACAGAATCTCCTGGAAACCGTTATCAAGATACATCGAAATTCAGGTCTATAATTCCTCATATCTTAACCGGAAACTTCGAAGGGGACTGGGTGAATGTAGGACTCGTGAAAATGTCGTCTACTTCTCACATGTTAGGTTGCACAAATTAGGTTACGCACTTTTAATCGCCTCTGAGCCTTTTCCTTTTTGAAAGCAAACGCCGAACAACTCGCCTGCATAAAATATCTCAACAAATTATGTCATTTCTTTGACACCGAATAACAACAGTTCGCTTTTAAAATATTAAGGGCAATTTATCTCTAACTTTTTTTTGAGATGATGGAACGTTAACATAAGGTCTTATCTGGGAATTGAAGAGAAGATAGCAGGGAAGATAAATTTGTTTTGTTTAGACCGAAGGACTTGCGAGATGAAAAGAAGCCATAAGCTGCGGGTCATCGGATAGACTGAAGGTTCTTTTTTTTCACAGATGAATATCGGGCAAAAAGATTTTCAACAGGATTTTAAGCGTTTGTTTGTTTGTTTCTTTATTATTTTTACATACACCATAGACATTATGAACAGTTTTGATGATTTTCTTTTCGTTGATCAACATTGAAATTTAGAGAAAGATAACATTTGACTCAATGGCTTATCAAGCGGAATTTCGAAATGAAAACAATGGTGATCGTTCAACAGAAATGGAAGCCAAAACAAGCGCTTGACACAACTGGCACAGGAAATATACCCTTGACGCTAATCGCTAACCTTGTGAGATAGATGTGACACGATAGGATCAGTTCTTCATGTCAGACACCCATTGATGTAATAAGAAGTTGCTGTATAAACAAACTCAATTTGCTGATAAGTTAAAACACACCTCCTATCAGCAAAGATAATACTGAGGAAGTAGAACATTAGCTGAGATATCAGCACCTCATTTTCACTTTGCCAAGATTTGTAACGCACCCAGGGAGATGATAAATCTATTGCTAACAGCTAATCAAGATTGCGCACTCGCCAAAGTTAACAAAACGAGACAAAATAAATAAATCAACACAGACTGGATAACATTGCTATCTTTTAAGAACATCTATTATTAAGTCATAAACCTTGAGACAGATCACCCACATCGAATCAAGTTAGATGTTCATTTAGATGTCAAATTCAATTTTCTGTAACAAATGGCTTGGAAAAACAGGATCAGAGTTTTTGAGTGCAAGTGTTTCTGATATCATCTTCTGCCATTTTACATTAAAATGACACTCTCAGTGTTAAAATAAAGAATAACTCAACGAAATAATGTTATTGGGGTGAAAGGAAGAAAGTAAACGGAATCTGCCTCATACCAGTAAAAGGATACCTCATGGGAAGTTGCGTTGGTAGGTCACAGGAAGGCAGGAATTCTATTTCTGCCTCATGCACATCTGATAAGGCGTTGAAATACTTTGACACCGCACGAAGCCCTTCAAACATGAAAGACATTTTTTTCAAAACGATATGCTGTTATTGGTTAAGAATTGCCTGAGTGGCTCTCCGTCACAGCTTGCTCCTGGTGGGGCTTCTATACAAATAAACCCTTGTCCTCCTGTGATTTGACAGGTCGGAAGTCTGCACCCAACACAATATTTCCAGTCACATCCTCGGTGGCGAAGATCTTTATTCATTGGCGGGTACTTATTAACTAACTGTTAGGCGGAGAGACCTTGAACTTTGTCGATGGTGGAGCTGTTGCTTCCATTGTGTGGCTGTTAATAATATATTAACATCTTGTGTTGGATTTATTTAATGAGCTATAGAAGAGAGAGAAATTCGATTAGACGCTGAATTCCTCGATTTAGACATTGACGCGGTGGGTGCATACCATTTGAAGCAGTTAAGTACAGAGGTGGGTCTTAGCGGAATAACTGTTTCAAGATTTTTTCACGAGCAGGACGGATTTCCGGAAACAATTAATGCGCTATGTTTATCGCTACATATTTCAGCTTGATATCAAGTTTTCACTGTTTAAAGTTTAGAAGAATCATTAGAGGCAGCTGCAAATATACGCTGCACAAAAGTAAAGGAATATACTGATATGCACTAAGGAAGTCATTTAAATACGCGATGTTGTTCCAATTCCAGCAGCGAAAGAGAAAAACCTGTTAGCTACGATCCGAAGTGTTCTCAGCAGCAACAGTGTATCTATCAGAATTTTTTTTAGAAAGCTGACCAATTTAAAATAACGGGATAAAAATACCATATAAGAGTCACTCATAGTGCGGAAAGTTTATTTCTCTCGGGCCAATACAAAATTGAATTCATTACACGCCACGAAGATATCCTAAATAATCTCTCTAGAGGCAGTGAATGAAACTCCTTAAGTGCAGGAACTTATGTTTGTAAACACTTCTATTGTTTAGACTTCAATTTACACGGGTTATTGACGACAGACTTAGAGTTTATCAAAACAATTTAGAAGCTCCGTAGTCTTATTCGCCAGAGTAGCCAATAGTTTACGCAAGCAATCGACCACCATTAATATTCAATTTGGATTTCATGTACCAGTTGATGAAGTATTATTCGTGTTTTGAATCGAAACAATAGATCACTATGGCCTACCTGATGTGCGTTTACTATAAACGTGAATTAATATTCACAGAAATCGAGGTTTCAAAACTGCGTGACCCCCACATAATTGACGACGTTTTCTTCAAAATGGAGAGAGAGAAAGCTCAAAGGGTCGTTACATTTGTTGGTGCTTGCGAAAATTGGAACCCAAAGGTGGCAATGTAAATATTCGCGATTAAACACGTAGATGTGACAAGTATCCTCTATCACTTTAAACGTTATGCAAACAAAAGAAAACGAATAGTTGAGATTTGCTTCCACTAATTTTGGATCAATTCAGCATGAAAACGGGCTCGATTTCATATGCTCTAGGCAGGGGTCGGTTTTTGATTGATGGGGTCGAAACAAGAGCAACTTTTCTTTGCACTGCCTAAGGGAACGTCGCCACAGTGTAGTATTTTCTTCTCAGTTGAACGGATCGACTTGTAACTGCGGCTGATAAGCAAAATTAAAGACGAGTAACAAGTTGACTGACACTATGATGATTTGCTTGTCTAAACAAACAAGGTTAACAGGCATTATTTTCAACAGTTTTGTCTACAGGATCCCTGCATGTGAGCGAGCCCGCACTCAAGCAGACAAGATTAACTGACATTTAATTTGAACTTTCGAGAAACACAGATAACAGTGTCGACCGCAGTTCATCGCTCATTGGCGTCGATATAAGTGCTATTATTCGGCATGCTATTTCGAGGTTTGCGTTCATTAATCGTTTGGAAAACACCTGATCCTTATGTTAGTGTTATTGAAATAATAAGGCCTTGCAAAGTTCATGAAATAGTGTTTTTGAATCAAGCCCTAAGTAACCATAACATTGGCAATTGAGGAGCCAAAACAAAGGAAACGCATAAACATTTCACTAGCTTCCTGTGATCAAACGAAAGCGCCTAAAAGCCGAAAATAGCATTCAAAACCTTTCTCACCTCATAGAGAGTGATTTCTGACAGTTGGTAATGGAATCGGGAATTTTAAAGGTGCCAAGATTTCGCGAAATCGTATTCAATCCCCGCGCTTCTTACTTAATTATCATGTCCACGCCGAGGGCAATGCTGTCAACTTGGAGGGCTTGACAAACCGTAAATGCAATAAATGTTGGGAATACATAATCACTGTCCTGTAGTGAAATTTAGATTAGTTCAGTAAACAGAAACAGCAGGTTAACAGATAAACTTCCGCGGATTTCTACCGTCGCTTTCCAAAACCGGAATCTAGGCTTCAAAATTGGCGAAATTGCGTCCACTAGAAGTGCTTTCGCGAGTTAATAAAGTGCAGCGAAGCGTTGACTGATGCAATTTAGCATGCATTAATACACTAACTTCTACTACAAGCACATTTCAATTATATCCCACGCGAGCCAAGACAACTGTTGTTTCAGATGTAAATAATAGGGTAATAAATTGAAGCACCGCCAATCAGAATTCCCATTTCTAGAAACAATTATGTCTAGCAAGGACAGTAGGAGTACATCCCGTGGCGAAAATATCAGAGCGACCCCAATTGCTTCTTCAAAAGCTTCCCGGCCCTTCTCAAGGTTAACTGACTGGGTTAAATTGATTCGGTTCGCCTCAGTCTCGAGAAATTTGGCCACTTTCATATAGAGCGCAGTATTTTCCTCAACTGAAGATAAAAAAGAACCGGAGAAAGGTAAATGAATCTTCAGCATATATTTACAAAAAATATCATTGGGTTAACACTTATTTGGTTTCAACCAAATTCTCAATCGTTGTCAAGGCACAAAATTTTCGCATGACTTAATGAGCTGTCGCATGATTTTTATGACAAAGTTCGCGTGCTTTTTGCTACTCATTGGTGAAATAAATACACAGCTGTTTTATAGCACCTTTTTCTACTTTTGACACTGGAAACAATACCGGCATTTGCCTCGCGCTTCAGGTCAAATCTAAATTCGTAAGGTGAGATCGCATCCGCCTCGAACTTTTTCATACACAAACACGTTGCTTCGATCTGATAAGACACAGGAGAGATGAACCTGGCTCTGAGAAACGAATTTGACATTTGAAATCCATTTTTCTGCGAGTATTCTATAATTTACGAGATCCACAGCTGCTAATTTCCGGTAAACAGGAGCGTGATATGTCCATCAAAAAATGCGCACAGGTTTGTACTCTTGCTGAAGAGCTAAAAGTGTTCCCGTTGTGGCCTCGAAATAAAAATTTCCCTTACAACTGGAAATTGTTTGTTTACACTAAATTATAAATCTTTAACAACTCTTTAGAATAAACATTTTGAATGTACACAAACCTTAATAGTACCAGCAAATACTGTAATCAACCCTATAAGACCTTCATACGTGAAATATTTACTTTTGAGGGGGTTTATGATGTTACTGTTACTCTAAACTGTAATTAAAACCTGGGAAATAATAATGTTAAGCTTATCCTCGACTGCAACAGACTGAGTATTTTGAGCTTATCACGAGGAGCCGCTATCGCTTTTATGAAAGCCCGTTGACTCAATTCAGAACATTCCCAATCAAGTCAGGTCGTTTAAGTGATAAGAAAGCCGCTTGTGTGGTTTAATTCATGAATGTTTCGCGCGTTTTTGTAGGATACGGCTCGGTTGTCTGGCTCTCGCACCGCGCACAGGTGGAGCGAAATAAGCGTTCCTGTCTTCTGTTGTTGTCATGTTGTTTTCGGAGAAAGAGGAAAGCGCATTTGCATGGTACAGGACCCCAGCGTGGGGCAGCATTATCGCGAAAAAAGATTCACAGCGGGTAGTTTGTAATAATAAAAAATAAAATCTACATCGTATAATTAAAGCTAAATAGCCTGCACTTGGGCCAGACAACATGTGAATTGCTTTGTGCCTTTCAATTCCCCTCATCTGCCGATTGCTTCTCTCTGATTGGTATAGTTGCGAACCAGGTGTTAACTATGGGTGTGGGGAGGAGCGTTTCACTTTTCACTCCTCCTTGAAGATAACGGGAAAATATTTTCACACCTCGAGTGTAAATATACACTAGGAGTCAAGGTAGTTTGAAATTGTATACTCCCGAATATATGATAGAAAGGTAAACGAAATTTGGCATGGATGGTGTAAATAATAGAAGTGAATGGATAGAAACAATTAAGGGCCTAAACGGACAAGTAGCAGCTGCCAGAGTAGGTGGTCGCATTGCTACCAGACAAATAAATGAATCAATTGACGCTTTGTAAAGAGCATAATGATTGGTTCGATGGACAAAAGATAGCGTGATGTCAGGATATTTATAGAAAGTGATAGATAATGAATAGGCGAGCCAATCAAATGTCATATCGACAAGACAAACACCAAACAGTCTTTAGAATTTCTAATTTATATATTATTGCCACAGAACAGCCTCCAACACTTCAGAATTAACTCTGTCAAACACAAGCAAAATGGCCTCTTCAAACCACGACCATCAACTAAGCAGCTACGAGCCTGAGCTCAAGAAAGACGATAGCGACTCGAGCCAAGTTGAGAGCGAAAAAGCCGAAACTAAGGAGGCCTCGTCGAAAGATCCCAATGTGAAGCCGCCGTACTCTTACGTCGCGCTGATCGCGATGGCGATTCGAGAGTCTTCAGAAAAGCGGTTAACCCTCAATGGAATCTACCAGTACATTATCAGTAAGTTTCCGTTTTACGAGAAGAATAAGAAGGGATGGCAAAATTCCATACGGCACAATTTGTCACTCAATGAGTGTTTCATTAAAGTTCCCCGAGAAGGCGGCGGGGAGAGAAAAGGAAACTACTGGACCTTAGATCCAGCTTGCGAGGATATGTTTGAGAAAGGTAACTACAGGCGCCGGCGCCGCATGAAGAGACCTTACCGGCAACAAACTCTGCAGCACACCAACGGAATGCTAACAGATCCGCGCGCGGCAGCGTATGGAAACTTCATCGCTCCCAAGTGGTCAGCTTATAATCCAGTTCAAAGTGTACCTACTGCAGGAGGAAACTGGCGAACTGCTCAGCCTGCTGGCCCTCTTTCGTACCCGTGCAACCCGCAATCGTCTAGAGTTCCACCGGGGTATGCGGTTGCACCCTACATGAACATGGGATCAACTGTTGGAGTCCCAGTCAGCTCATACACAGGTACGCAGTATTCTACACAAATCCAGAACCCCGTGAATAATCAATGTGGGTACGGAGCCGTGGCAATGCCCAGTGTAGGTTGTCGCAGACAAACTGATCATACAGCCGCAGTGCATGGCCATCATTTTACTAATCCGTACTGGAATCCACCTGACAAGCATTCATTTGACGCTCAACCACGTTCATAGGGTAAACGTGTGCGAGAGATTATTGACTGAAAAAACGTTTCTACGATCTAGAGATTTTATTTATATGAGAACACATAAGAATTACTCTTGGACCTGACTGCAAATAGAGAAAGAAAAGTACGGAAAAAGCCTCTTAAAAAAAGCAAAAAAAAAAAGCGAACTAACAAACTCGAGATGTACGCTCCAAAATTATAGAGATTTCATGTAATATTTGAGTATTATATTTACTTTAATCATTAAATCAGAAGCCCCTTGATATGGTATCTGGGCATTCCAACCAGTTCAGCAGTTGACCTTCCAAACAAATCAAATTGTACCAAATCTAATATTATCTACGATAAAGGAAAAAAAGGAAATGAAAATTCTCCTAAGATTTATTCTTATTGCGCACGTTTTCGAATGCTCGAAGTTCAAACTGAAAGTTGACGAGCTAGTAAATTCATTAGGTACACTTTTGTGAACTGTTATTAGTGTAGACTTTCTACTTCAGCGTGAATGCGTGAAACGCCAATGATCTCTTTTACCGCGTGAAGTCTTTTAGCTTTTAACTGTAACTTGCAGTTACACTTTCAACAAAGAGGATTTTGTCGATCTGTTCAATCCATTTTAGAATTTTGAGGAAGTACCTCTAGTGTTTGTTGACTTTGATTTTGAATAATTTCTCGAACCGGCGGTTACTCGCCACTTAAAAAGGTTCAAGGAAGAAATGGAAGAAACGAACTTTTTGAAAATAATTTATTTGCCGATGCGGCATTGTCACTGTCTTTTCTATGCCTTCAAAGAAAATAAACTCATAGTCAGGGTATCTGCCTGTTCTTTATTTTCCTGGGTTAATGAGGATAATGCCGTAGAGCGGTGTCCGAGGCTCAAGGTCGCATACTCGGCAATGGATCAATTTTAGTTACAGCTCCATGGGTGAGAAAATTCATTCGCTTTAAATTCACAAAGGTTTATCACCCTCGAGGAAGGAATTTTCTAAAATGGATAAGATTTAAAGGGGAATTTGCCGTTACACTGCACTTTCTCTGATAATTTTGGGAATTCACGACTTTGCATCGAGAAAAATTTTATTGAGTGGCGGAGTAACAAAATTAATATTTCTCTGATCTTGTAGTTTTTATCGTTGGTCCATTATCCTCCCACTATTTAGTTTATCGTTGTCTTTCTTGTCTTCTACTCTGCTCTAGTAGCAAAGTTTATTAATCCAAATCAGTACCGCCAATGGGCAGGCAAATACTAGAGCAACCAAGACGGTGTTTGTTATTATGGCTCTTGTTTGCATTTTGAACATAAACCATCCCTGAACTTTACGGTGTTTTGACGTTAAATTAAGGTTTTTTCGATCGCTTATTGTTAACCAAACTTTGTGTTAAATAGTTAGCGATTAAATTCGCGGACACTGACAAGGCGAGGGTCTTTTGCAACCAGAAGTGACACGAAATTTGACACTGTTAACTTAATTTTAAATGTTGTCAATACCGATGCGACAGTTTTGGTGCATTTCATTCGCGTGATTTTCCACTCAAAAAGTCTCTTAAATTACTTCATAAAATTTACATTCCGGTACACGAATCGACGCTCACAAACGCACCAAAGTTTGTATTCGAGTGAGATTACAAGAAAATGCACTTTCATAGAAACGAAATTTTTCATACGTATGAAAACCTAAGTAGAGCATGAAAGTCGCCGACGAAGACTTCTTGTATTCAAATTAACCACATATCCTGAGGCATTTCGGCGAGATAAGAGAATCATCATTTACGGTCGCTCGGCGTTCTAAATCACACAAAAGATCTCAAAGCAAGACACGTGTGACAAATGCTTTGCTTGCTCACAACTAAGTTCGCTTTTAAAATATCATAATGGAAGTACTTGTTCTAAGTCGACGGAAGAAAATTCGTGAAAACGATAATTCCTTTTCCTAACAGGTGAATCATTATTTTGACTTGCTGTTTCCGCAAACTTCTCTCTTATATTAGATGGGTGATGAACACTTAAAAAATATGTAGGGTGGGAAACTTTTCCGATCAGAACCTTTCCGAAACAGCTGTGATGGGCTAGACCTTAGTTTGGAAGGAAATGGAAAGGAAATGTTTCTGATTAAAGAGATATATTGCATTTCCATGGATGCGAGAGAGTGCGCTACTATAGAAAAACCACTACGGGGTGCCTTCGCTCTGCGATAGCAGCTTGAAACTGCCGTAGGTTGATATCTCTCAGAAAGAAGAAGCTGTAGTTATTCCAGTGACCATACAAAACTTAAAGATTTTAGTGATCAAAAGGTCTGCGACTTAGAAAAAAACACTCATTCAGCAGCAAACGATTGTACTCCCTAAGCCGGAGTCGAGTTAGGGATAAGGGGTCGGTTGTTTTCTGTTTCAGCGGCGGCGTTCTGTCAAGGCTTTGTTAAAATTTGTCAATATTTGGACAATATCGCACAAACTGCAAGGATGGTCAAGAGAGGCTGGTGATATTAAAACTACATTTTCATTTTTGATAGTTTAACCGGCTCTAATAGCCTCTGCAATGCGCGAGATAGTAGTCGGCTCTCGATGTTGTAACTCGTCCATACAAGTTTCCTCGAGAGTCATTTTCTTATCTGGGTAAGGCATAAACAAAAGAAAGTGAATGCTGCTGCGGTATGGCAACATTCATTAGATTTGGAAACCTAAAACTTGATTTTTAATCACTTCATGAGAGCGGAACAAAATGTTCGACCATTGCAAGGTCCCATGTCCAAGTTTATTGATTCTCTCGTGGTCTGTTTATGGAAGTTTCCCCGGTAAGTTTAGAAGCACCTGTAAACACACAGGGAAATTTCTTCCGATTAAGGACTATTTACCTTTTCACACCAAAGGATCAAAACTTTTTCCTTAGCGAATGAGTCTATTTTTTCCATTTTTGGACCACTTATAAAAAGCGATAAATGCAAGATAAAAATAGTGAGTATTCTTTAAGATTTTGTGTTTGTTTTCTTTTTCTTGCAATAGGTGGAACGGCGGCCAGGTTATTTACGCCATAGCGGCTTTTCAAATACTAGGTGGTCTCTAAATGCACCACACTTAAATTAACACCCCCCTTAAATCCAAGTTGACTGAAATTCTCGCATCATCGAGGCGAACATCTCCTTAAAGAAATCGCGAGAGGACGTAACAAAGTAACTGCTTAAATAAAATCTGAAAAGAGGAAATGATATGCCTAGTCACTTCTTTATAAAGAAAATTGAAGGACGCGAGGAAATTTTTTTCTCTGGTTTAATGTTTTAAGTTTTTCGCCGACAAGGAGAATATTCACCTCCAAAACATAACATCGAGTATATTTGTGTAGAAGCCATTTTTCAATTGCCTATTTTGACGGCCGTCAAACGTATATTATCCAAGCTTGACAATGTTATTGATTCTAAGCTCTTTACTTTTTCTCTATTGTAAACATACCATACTCTGAAGTCACACAAAAAAATGCGCCGGTCCTCGGAACAAAAACTCAGGACAAAAAAGGAGTAGTATTTCTCTGAAGTAATGTATGTCTAACGATTTGGAATCAAATGTATAAAACAAAGCTTGTAAATGAATACAGAAAAGGGCACATCTGTTTCAACTGGAGCAATATTCCTTTCAGTGATAAATTACATCTGTGTAAAGCAAGGAAAAAAACCTACCCAGGTTTAACCGATATCACCGTGGTAAATTGGCTAAGATCAATATCACCACAAGCGCAATCTTCCAAAACGCGAATGAACAGTAATTAGGGCGATCGCGTTACGGTCGTTTGAAAGTCTCAACATAATTTGCTGCTTTCAAAAATTTCAGGAAAAAGTATATCGTTGAAGCAACACTCTGAAGATTTACCTAATTAAGCAACTTTTCTGCTACCGAACAAAAATATCATCAAAATTCTGAGTACAATAAATATTTTATTAAATTTAGGGTCTTCTTAAATAGTTTTTACTCTTCCTTTATCCTCTCGTGTCTTCGGCTTATTAACTGGTGGGAGAATATTCCGAAAAAACGAGGATTATCTTCCTGCTAATAATACAAATTGGGCACCTTATGGTGAGTTACAGTTATTGGGTTGCCGGTTATTCTCGAACAACTTTGATAGCCAGCCGCGTTCACCTAAGCGAAGGATGTAAACAATGGGTTTCTTTCGCTTTGATCGCAAACTAATTTAACAATGGGATAATCCTTAGACATTCTTGTTAACGATAAGTGAATCAAAAAGAAAATAATAATTGGGATTAAGAATGAGCACAAAGATACGAGCTGTTAAAATTGAGCCGTGAAAGGCGCTGAGTAGAGTTAAATTCTAACAACTGGGGTGTCACAGCACCGCGCGAAATTGATCTTATAGTTGGGTCCCTATTTGCTTAACTGGTACACTTGCCGAAAATGAAAACATTGAGCATTCATGCTAGCCTGTCGAGAAAAAGCAAACTGATAAAGAGTTCAAGAGCATCGAGTGATGATTTTTACAAGGCATATTAATGCTAGCAATTTGCAGTGTTCTGATTTCAGGCGGTTTCAATTCCAATTCATTCGATCTTTCGTGCTAATACGTGAAATATTTCTAGAGATAGCAGTAGCAAACTTCTCAGCAGGTATAAATCACAAGCGCCCAACAGTAAATGTTAATTTCGTACGATAAATCGCTTTAACATGGTATTAATCATAACCCTTTTTTCTTTCAGTATGTCTTTCTTTCCCTTACTGTAGCATCTGGTCTTTTACCCTTCGCATGCACCTCTTCCTTCACTTCAAGCACAGCGCGCACTATCTTTTATCAATAAGCGAGCGAGACAAAAGGGGTGCGTTTCGTTTGTCCCAGTGTCGCACCGATGCAAAACGTATCGCTTCAGTCAGAAGAGGGTTACCTTGAAACCACAAACAAACGCATGGCGGCGACCCCTTGAGTGCCCTACACGATGGTGTCTACACATTAGAATTGCAAAACCGATAAGAAATTGGAATTTTATAAAAACAAAGATGTAGCCAGTGGCAAAGAAAGACGAAATAGATCTTTCGTTGTACTATTATAAACTTTCAAATTTGCCAAGTTCGTTTGAAAAGGGGGGAAAATTGCTGGGGAAGGAAGACGCGGATTCAAATCTTCCAAAGACTCCGATCTGTTGTGTATTCGTTTGGTAAACCAAGAAGAACATCAAAAATACACGGACTGGCTGTTATTCTTTATTGAATTTACACAAGAGTTGTCTTATCCTGTTTCTCAATCGCTGTTAAATTGTCTGAACTTTTCACCCAAGCATACCGTTGACAAACTTTTCTGAAGACGGCGGTCAAACAAATTATTGGTTTTGTACGCTGTGATGTTTATGTTAATCTAAGTTATCATGCAAAATTAATTTTACCAGGCAGATTCCGCAATACAAATTCTATCCATGCTTATTGCTGTAGAGGACTCGCCATTCATTTATTGCGATTTTAGCTGAAGCTGTAGATTGGAACTAATTGGTAATTTTCTTCGCGTCCAGTTTAAACATGACAATTGATGGACGATCGAGGAACAAATCGAGAACATCCAAAGCATTAAGGCACTGCACATTAGAACTCGTAATTGAAATGTTCAAATGAAATGAAAGCGTAGGAACAAAGCTTTTGAACTTACCATATGAACTTAAAAATTAATTTTGCGCTTTCGTTTGGAAGGAGATCAAAGAGATGAAGATACCGCGTCACTCACCGCAGTTCATAGGCAAAAATGGTTGGTTCGATGCAAACAGCTTTCGGAAAAGCTGCTACACACAAAACGAAAACAGGAAAGCGAATAAAGGTGAATACAATTAAGT